GTCGAAGATCAAAGAGGCAGTTATCTCATGGGAACATGGAATGCAGTTTTCTAAACCGTAACACTAAGAGACGTACGTGATGGATCGTGGTGGCAGTTTTGTTAACTGCTCTTAGGAGGTTATTTGAAGGGTGCTCTATAAATAGAGCGAAGCTTGAGGAAGAACAGGAAATTGGCAGAGACAACTGAAGCACAAGTGAACAGTCTGCAGGAGAACGACGCATCATGAAGTTTCTAATGCTCTGGATTTCCATTTTCATTGATTATCTTTGTCGCTTTCTTTACTTTCCCTGGTAATTTTACTTTCATTGCAACTTTACGTTTATCAACTTTAAGTTTGTCATTTCGATTCCTTGTCATTTACCTTTATGCAAAAGTTACTTTTGTGCAAGTTAATGTTATGCGTTTAAGATGCTCGCCATTTACATTTATGCAATTTCGATTTCCTGTTGTTTACATTTCCGCAATTTCGATTTCTTGCCTTTTACATTTAATGCAAATTTGAGGTTTCCGTATTCTACATTTCTCTGCAATTTAACATTCTGCTTTCGATTCGACGCTTTTACCGCTTTCTTTACTTCACGTTTCTTAATATAAAATACCAAAAAATAATACTTTCTGCATTCGAGGTCATGTGGTTTGCATCTTTTCGAGATTTTGGGATTTTCGATTCTCATACACATTTCGATTGAAAACTGCTTGCTAGCCTAAGTAAAAAGAATCTACATGGCTGAGATTTGGTTAGAACTTAAGTCTTGATAAATCGAAATCGATCAAATTTTCACCAGAAACAATAATAATATATACATGATTTCATTTTGTAATCTGTTTTTCTTAAAAAATATAATTTGTAATTTTAAAAATAAATATATTATAGTTTAAAATTAACATATATTAAAATTTAATAAATTTAAATAAACCAACATAATAAATTAAATAAAATTCATTACAAAGTATCCAAAGAAAAATGAAATTACATTTTAATTCTATTCCATTCCTATCTATATTATTTTATGGTATAATAACAAATAAATATTATGATATAATAACAAATAAATATTTATGATGTACAATGTTTAAATTAATATACTAAATTTGAAATTTTTATTATCAAAATTAAAATTTAAGTTCTGAACTATTTGGTCAAAGACACGTCATTAACACGTGTCAACTAATATTGATACATTAGTGAATAACGAGAAGTTATTTTTATCAATTTTTTATATATAATACTTTCAAATCTAGTGAACAGTTTTTCTTATAACATTATGTAATTATTAAATCATGGGAAGAAGAGTTGGACAATAAATTATAATAACATATAAAACTGATTATTATTTTCTCATTTTCCTTTGATATCATGTTATTTAAAATATAAATAAATTTTGATTAAATTTAAATTTAATTTTATGAAGTATTATACTTTGAACTAATACAAAAATATGATATATAAGATTTTTATGATAATTGTGGTTAATTTATGATTGGACGAGAATATATATTTACACAAGTCACTCGTTAAGGTGATAAAAGTTTTGATATCAGAACATCTTGTGTGTGAATTTAACCCGAAGGGTCCAATACTCACGCACCACGTTTCCATCAATGCATACCTTCACACTTAAAACATAGCATTCAGCCCCAATATCGTCTTCTCATCTCATGTAACTTCTCAAAAATCTTTTCGCGTCACGATATTTTTTTTTTAATATTTGAGGCCCAATTCGTCTTATCAAATATTTGAAAATTATAATTATTATTTTTAAACACGGCAAGCCATACCTAAATAAAACTTTCTTAGCGTGTAGCAAGAGTCTAATTTCCTTTATTATCTCCCTAATTATTTAGTTAACTTAATAAGAGAGGATTGTCTTAATAAAGATGATCTTAAGATTATTGATAAATTACGTATTTATTCGTTATTCTACTTCAGTCGAAGATATAAAAGTGTTTCCAAACCATTAAGATAGCATAAGGATGATTAAAATATAATAAACATAAAGCATGGAAGTATAGGATTGTATAAGCTATAGTATTGATTAAAAAGTCATAAAGAGTATATGCAACTTAGTTCCAATTTTTACATAAGATTTATTCCATTATTATAGTTTATTGATTCTAATTATTTTAAATTAATTATTACAAAATATTGTTTGGATATATAAATAAATAAAAAAGTAAATTAAAAATCAAATCATACTTGTATTGTTCAAATTAAAAATCAGGCATATGTATTAAATTATAAAAATTAATCAGGTGAAATTATCAGAAGTTTTGATTACATATACTATAATTTTTAATACCATTAGTAATTAAATGTATAAAAAATATTTTAAATTATTTAGATAAAATCAATTAATTTAATTCATATTTTTATCTTGTATATTTTATGTATAAAAGTTAAATATCATTAAATACGCATGCTTAAATGCTTTAAAAATTAGATGTTCATTAATATATATATATATATATATATATATATATATATATATATATATATATTTCTTTTGACCTAAAATAGAGAGAGTATTACATTGCCTAGCTAATTTGGGGATGCGTCAACACCAACGCTTTTGTTATTGAGACCAACCACTTTCTGCCCTCCTCACTGTGTTTGGAAATTTTATTTTATTTTTCTTTTTATTAGAATAAAATTTAGTGAAAGTTGTTTGATTATGATATAATAAAAATAATAAATTATGTATGTCTATGCATGAAGTCATTTATGTTAATTACTTTCATTGAAAGCATCATCCATGAAAGTCCAGTTTTTATTTTCATTTCCAATTTTGAAAAAAAAAAAAAACTATAAACTTGTTGTGTGAGATGAAAACTTGTTTCTAATTCTTTATGACAGAATTTTAGAGATTATAAAATATGAAAAGTGTTATAAAACACAGTTCAACTTTACCAAATACTATATTTTTCTATTATAATTGTGTTATAATTATTAATACTTTTATACTCTCTATTCATCTTAATTAATACATCATATCTATATATAGATTGCTCACTTTCTCATTACAAAAGTGTTTCTATCTTAAATAATTTAACATATTGTTTAGTTGTATTATTTAGAACTTAAAAGAGGAATGAAACCTGTGCATTTTAGCTCTCATTTTTTTTTTTAAATTTACTTTTTCTCCACTCTCAATTCTTGAAGCATGATGATAATGGATAAAGAAAGTGATGAATGTTGGTGATGTTTAGGTGTTTAAATTGATAAGAAATGAAGTTGTAAGATTTCAGATAAAAAGATGCAGTGGGTAGAGGAGAGATGCCTTTTTGAGTGGCTAGATTCCTCTTATGCTTACCTTTATCTCTTTAACTTTGCACACCCTTCCATGTTCATATTCCTGGCACATCCCTCTATAAATAATGTAGCAATAGGAACTACAAACCCTCGCTTTTTTTCTCAAGCCGCTCCAAAAGAAATAAGTGTTACACCTACACAAATCATCACTGTTTCATCACATCTAAATGTTCAAGAATGATCCAATAATAATCGTATAACGAATCATACATTCCTACAACTGATATGTGAAAAGGGCGTTTGGTCCCAGAGAAGGTATCAAAAGTCACAAGGAAATCTGTATTTGGATTCTGTGAGACAATAGTGTATAAAAGGTGTATGTATGTATATATATATATATATATATATATATATATAATAGAATGACAGTAAATGAGTAATCTTGGAAGTACAGCAAAATAATTACAAGAGTAGACTAGAGGAAGATGAAGTGGGGCATGCAGAAAAGATTGTTTAAGCAAGCATTTGAGAAGGGTCATATCGAGGAATTAAAATAAGAATATCCTTGAATCCCAATTTAGCAAGTGCATCTTAATTTTATTTTCATCCCAATGTTTGATGTCTTGCAATGTATGGTAACAATAATAGCCTTTGGAAGCTTGGGAAAAGTTGTGTTTGGTGGGTGGCAATTAGACTTAGCCTGTGCGCTGACCGTTACTTTTTCTCAGCCAATGCAACCACACCTTCCTTCAACATCAGTGGCCACCGCGCGTGCAAAGTTCAGAATAAAGCCAATTTCTCACTCCCCCCACTTCACAATCCAACTCACAATTTACAACTCAAGCTTACATTTCAAACTCTATATTTCGTTATTGTTTAAACAAATAATAAGATTCAAGACCCTGTAATAATTTCTGGGTTACAAATCTTCTTATAATCACCGAAAACTACGTAATCATGATGCCTTTTTGTTTTACTTTCTAGATGCCCGTTGTCCTTACATTGTATTTAGTTGTTTGTTTATGCTATCATCACTCATCTCACCTTAATCTTCTTTAAGGACACAGAGGCCTAGGCAGTTTTGGAATCTTCTACTTTGCCGTTTTGGTTTCTAAATATATATTCAAGAACCAAGTTATAATATCCTCGTTGCAGAAAAATTTTTGTGACCATTATTTTAAACTGTATTTCTATAAATTAATTTTTTCAATTTTTTTTTAAGTTTAATAATAATTAACTTCAAACTCATATCTAGCATAGCTTTATGCGAAATTTTTATTGAACTCATATATATTAGGCAGCTATCAATTAGTACGAATTTATTGAGGAATTTTTAGAAGTGAAGCTATAGACCACAAGTAGTGCGATAATAATTTAACCAAACGAATACTAGCCTCTATTATTTTCTAAACTCCTTGATCCTAAACATACCCTACGCATTTAAAATTATAACAACATACCGCAAAATTTATAAAGCCATGGTCCATGGTGATAACAATACTACAGTATCTAGATTTGTAGATATATAAAGTAGTCACAAATTCAAACCCAACTTTGCATTACAAACCTGACATAACTGTGAAAGATATATAGTTAACAATTGGGGAGGAGCCTAAAAAACACAACTCCTCAGCAATCACAATATAAAACTCAAGATCATAGCTATACTCCTTAATTACTTACTTCCCTAGTAATTATACAAATACATACATACACACAGCTTTGCTTTATACCCAGAATTTAGTGGGTCAGCAATGATCTATGTCATTGCCTGAAATGGACTGAGGAAGGCCTTCAAGCAAGCAAGAGACTGGGGGAATGGTTAGTGTCTCAGAGTTTCCATAGGCACTCCAGCAGTAAGGATCAAGCACCATGTCTCCTTGAGCTGGAAGAAGCTCAATATCTGAGAGGGTCAAGTTGGTGCATGGGACAGAGTCACTGCAAGCAAAATGCATGGGAGGGTGCCTTATATCATATGTTCCCTTTATGTTTGTGTAAGATATATTCGATACAAATACTGCAGAGGTCTTGTTGGCGCAATCCTTGCTGAGGCAGTAAAACTGATCAATTATAATCGGGTTTCTTACACCTTCCATGTGAATATTACTAAATGTCACTCCCGATACTGATCCTGATCCACCTTGCCATGTCTTGATCCTAACCCCGTTATCTGACACTTTTATAACCGAGTCCCTCACCGTAATGTTTGAAACACAGGCTCTGGAGTTGTGATTTCCCAGACTACCAATGCTGAGTTAAATTAATAATATAAGGTTAATTAGCTAGAGGAACCAGTGTATATAATTTATGGACCCTTTTCTTGAAAATGAATGATATGTTAATTACCTTATACCATGACCAGGTCCACATGTTATGTTCTTTACATCAACATCATGGCAACCGGCTCCAATGGACACGCAGTCATCACCTGTATAAAAGGATAATTCATTGCTGACCTTAGAGTTTTGATGCGATAGAAAAGAAAAGTAGTGGATTATTTTGTGACCAACCATTGGAAATGACCGAATTGTATATTTTCACGTCATTGGTATTTTCTATGTGTATTCCATCAGTGTTGGGGCTTAGTGCTGGAGCTGTTATGTAGATTGATTCCACGTGGACGCTTTCGCAGCCATCAAATCTGAAGTGGAATTGGGGACTGTTCTTTATCCTAAGTCCTTGTACAGTCAAGTTGGAACTCATGAAAAACCTAATGGCCTGAAACACGAGGAGTTACTTTACGTTTCAGCAGTTTACTTTCAACCACAATGCAACCTTTGTTTGTGTTTGGACTACTTACCACAGGGCTGTCACAAGGTCCTGAAGATGTTGTCCCATGAGGCCCCTGTGGCATTTTTTATTGTAGGGATGAGTGTTTGAAGCATCAAAACTGAATTTATATTTTGCTCTTGATATTTTTAAATCATCAATAGTATACCTTGTGAGGCTTACAAGGGAGGTCCCACCATTTTGCTCCTCTCCCATCTATTAATCCACTTCCTTCGAGTGACATCCCATTGATTCTATAAAAGACAAGCCATTGACGCCTACTGTTGTTCTTAGGCCAAGATTCAGGTCCATCAGGTGGCATGAGAGTGCCATCAACCTTTTCCATGAGTGCCACCAAAGTTAATTAGTGAGCATTACCCTTAACCATTTGTGAGAAAGAAAATAATCACTAACTGTGTAAAATTTTATGGCACAGTAATCCAATAAAAGTCATGTTTATCATGATTTTTTTATTTATTTAAAGCATAAAACCCTTTTAAATTAATGATAGTAAGTGCATAGAAATTAAACAATAGGAAGAACCAAAATGTTGCAATTTGCAAAGTACATTACCTTTAGTACTAAGCCACCTTTACAAGGACCTGTGAAAATAGTAGATTGAGTAATGAAGGAGAAACCACGGGGAACAAGGATAACCTTAACCGCTGATTCACTTTGGCAGGCAGTGTCCCATGCCATCTTGAATGACTCTGTATCATCAGTTACTCCATCTCCAACGGCCCCAAATGCTCGAACATCAAACAAGTTATTAGATGCATTGTGATAGTTCTCATCAACAGCGGGGCTAGGACTAGGAGCTTCATCAGGGGCGGCAGAAGGTCCAGACCATGGAGAAGGAGAAGGTGAAATTTCAGGTGCATTATGATTATATGAGTGTTTGTGTTTTCTATGGAAATGGTATCTAGCTTGGGTGGGAAGAAATAAAGTAAGAAAATATAAGGACAATGCAAGTGGTAAAATATGAGAATGCCTCATTGCGAGTATATTCTAGTACTGGAGTTAAAAAAGGGCTTAAAAAGGTTAAGATGCTAAAACTTTGAAAACTACTAGAGACTCTGATTGGCTTTGTGGGTGTCAACAAGAAGATGAAAGGAATAAAGAGTCGAATTTTGGAGTAATTGGGCACCCTGAGTTTTGGGAAATTGGAAGAAACCAGTTTGCTAGTAAGAGTGACCTCTAGTAGCACTAGTGCACAAGTTGCAACAAGTTTAATTCTGAGTTGGACCCTTGGTACATGCAGAATCAGAAAGCCTGAGTTACTATATATAATAAGAAGGCATAGTGGACAATATGTTAAGTTTCATCGGCACATTATCAATATTTTATTGGTTTTGGAAGTGGAAACCGACAAATACTACATAGGCATTGGCCTTCTTTTAGAGATTGTGGAGTCTGCATATGACAATTCTGAAAAGAGCAAAAAGGAATAACTAGAAGTCAGGCTGGATAGTAGACAAACCTCCCATGTTCTTCCCATTACTCTTTTGTCCCATAACTAAGAGGGATTTCTTATGGATAATATTTCTTAAGAGACAATAATTATATAATAAAGAATAATTTTTACATAATTAAGACACTAGATGTTTAACAAAAAGTTCACTACTAAAATGAAATGCTTACGTACATTCAGTTGTGAGTTAGATGAAATAAGTTCACCTCATTATTACAGTAACTATTCTGATAATTAATTATCAATTAAATATTGTAGTTAATGATGTGATTTTTGTAGTTATCAATCAATGAATGATGTGATTGAGCTATGCATTTATAGATAATAAACAAAACTTGTCATTTCTTATGATTGTAGTTCTAGTTTCTAAGAAAGTTTCAAATTAACTTATATTCTTAATTTTTCTTAATGAAGCAAAGATCTTTTTTTTTTTTAATTTCTCTTTAAATTAATAACTCAATCTGTTTGAGTCAAAATACTGTATTATTGAAAGAATAAAATTGTTTTAAAAAAGTAATATATCTCTGGCGTGTTTTTAATGTATTTCTTTTAGAGGAAGCTTTTAACGACATTAAATTTTTTGTTTTGAAGTCATGACATTCGAACATAAACTCCAAATGAATAATATTTTGTGAATTGGATTACATTAGAGCACATAATCCTTGTATGCCTCAAATTCATAACATGAATATCATATATGTCCGTGTGCTTGTCTAGTAAATACCATATTAATGCTTTTTGTCCCTTTTGAATGCCTCCAAACCCATGTCTATTGTTTCAAACACTTGGTGACTGGGTTAGGTTTGATATATAGTACGTGAATTTATGTCTTAAGTCCTACATATATTCACTTATATACTCATTGAACGAGTTAGGTAGGTAAATTTAATTTTAAATTGATGAATGTAATTGAAATGTGTGGTTGAATTAATGTAAACCACACATCTTATACATTTTATTAGTTGAGTTTTTAATATATAGTAATCAATATGATTATTTTTGACAAATATTTTTGCTCATATAAGAAATTATTGTAAACCACATATCAACATAGTCTCATAGGATATGCAATATTGATATTTAATACGTACCAAATCTAATAAGAGTGCAAAGAAAATATTTAAATTTTCTTAAAGGAGTAATAGTTATTATTGTTTGTATATATTTATATATTCATAACTTGTCATATGAGGTTTCAGTCAAGCTTCGCAATGCGCTTATTTGACATGAATTTTTTTTGAAATAAACTAAGTAATTTTTCAAACATCGTGAAACATTAAATAATATTTTTAGTCATGTTGCTTAGCCAAACACACCAATATATATAATATTGATTGTTCATTTTTTTTTTGTAGTAATGGTTGATCCCACTTATTAAAAATAGGATTTAACTCTGTTAAAATAATTATTGATGACATAATATGATTTTCTGGTCATAAGATATTTAGAATTTCTAACTAGGACTTAACTAATTTTTTCTTACAAAATGGATCCACTTTAAGATAAATTGGTTTCTTTTAATTGATCAGATTAAAGATTAATTTCACTAATAATAATATAATTAAGGATACTCTAACAAGGGTTTTTTTTTATTTTATTTTTTTGAAGTAGGAGAACTCAAGTAAGAAAACCACTCACGTACACTACTTTATCTTTTGAATTGTTCATTTAAAGAAGCCGCATGCCTAAAAGCAATGACAAAATTTATGCGGCTGAACTTAAATTCCCTTTGAAAAATGCAGTGATTAAAGTGGATATATAGTTAATTAATTATATTAGGGTTCCTCTGCATATTAATTTAAATATTGATTTGTATATATCTGTAACCGTCCATCCACTCCCAAGTTGAGAATTCATGGCTCTTGCTTTGCTTTGCTTCCACTCACAACATCATCTCAACTCAACATATTGCTCTCTATCACCGCCCAAATTCACACCACTTTTTCTGCTCATGCTTCACCAGTTTCTTCCACACACATACTCATGCTGGTTTATTATTTTTTTGTCTCACTTAATTGCTTTCAATTGGCGCCTCATAACTCAAAAAATGTCGACCACAGTTTTTGTTTTTCGGTTTTCAAGTGATCTAATTTTGCGTTTTCTTAAGCTAACACGTTCAGCAGATCACAATTACAGCTTAAAGCGCGAGCTATATGTCTAGTAATATTAAAAAAAGTACTGCATTTAACATGCAAAAAGTTGGTGCTAAAAACTGAATCCATTGTTTAAATTAAATGGTTTTGGCTATCATAACCCAGAAAGAAAAAGGAAAGTATGGCTTAATTAAAGGTAAGTGGCTGACTTTTCCAGCAATTGGCCTACCCAAGTTGACATTCTTAATTCCAATAATATATTTAAAATACTCAAATCAAGGATCAAGTTAATGCTACTTCTCTCATACACCCATTCATACACACTCTACACCATATATCCACATACGTACATCTATAAGTATTTTGTATTATTTAGTACATTAGTTTATTTTCTATATTCACTTGTATATGTTTTTTATTTATTACAAATCATTTTTTTTTATGTTAGTTTCGTCTTTATAGTGGAAATACATGTGTTTATGCATCTAATGTCTGTATTTCTTTTCTATTATCATTTTTATAAAATACTATTTTTATTTATAATTTAAAATGAGAAAAAAATGGAAAAAAACTTGTAATTAAGGATATTTTAAAGAGAAAGAAAAATGACATAATTGAAATTGTTTCAAGAGGAGAGAGAAATGATAGATTTTTATCAACTAATGTATTAATTTTATTGGCAAAAAAAATTGAAAAAAAAACTATAATTATAGGAGAGAAGATAAAACAATAACCTATCACAATTATTTTAAAACTTTATTTTAAGTTAAAGTTTTTGTTATTATAAAATGATTTATTTATAAAATTGTTGTATAATTTTTCATATTAGTATAATACATGTAAAATCTAAATATGGTTATTTATCCAATTTTTAAATCATATTTTTATGTACCTCAAATAAAAAACATTTCCACAACAAATGTATTATCGATGTTAAAAAATTGGTTAAGAAATTCATATTTGGATTTTATAATGACTAAACTAATAAAATAATTATAAAGACTATTTTAATAAATAATATATTTTACAATAAATATTTTTTACCATTTTTTTCATGTTAAGTCACTATATTTGTCTACCAAATCACTAAATTTTTAATAAATTTTAAAAATATCATATTTGCATTTTTATAAAATCTAAATTAGTATACAAAATTATACGGAGACTATTTTCAGAAATAACAAATAAAAAAATATATTTTATCCATTTTATATAATCAATAAAGTAAAATTCATTATGTTTAGCAATTTTTTTTATTGAGAGTTTCATGTATAAGATATTTAGTGTGTTTTAGGAATAGGAATTTAGTTTGCTTTATCTCTAAATCGTAAATTATACCGTGAATTGGTCCGTCATAGTTAATATTTAATATGAGCTATAGATCCCAACGCATGCAATCAAAGAACGGATTACTATATTAGCGAACTAGTTCGTCAATAATTTTTTTAATATATTTCTTTTATATGTATTTTTTAAAATATATAATTATATTAATAATTTTTAAATTTTTATTTATTAATTAGTATTTTTGTTAGATAAATTAAAAATTTTATTATATTTATTTGTTAAAATAATTAATTATAATCAATAATTTAAATTTAATTGATTAATTTTTATAATTTAAATTATAATATTATTATATATTTTTATATTTTAATAACATAAAAAATATAATATTTTTAATTATTTTATTTTGATTTTAATATATAAATTTATTTTTAAAACGGATCAGACGCTTAGTATATCTAGTGGCGGATCTTCTTGGAAGCTGAGGGGTCATGACCTTCCAAAGTTTTGTAACTCCCATGTAATTTATGATTTTGCCCCCCAAACTTAATGAAAATTTAATATATTTACTTGTATATTTACAATTTTATCCTCTCATCCCCTCTTCAGTTTTATAACTCTCATATAATTTATGATTTTGTCTCTCTCATACTTAATGATTATTTAATATATTTAAGTATATATCTACAATTTTATTTTTTTACTCTTTCATTTTCTTTCTTTTTTTATATTTATTTATTATTTATTAATAATATATTATTTGATCCTCCAATATCAATGGTTAAGATCCGCCACTATATATTTTGTCTCACTTGACCCGTTAAGATGGTATGTTACACAGGATAGGTCAAAATTGACTGAAAGACTAAAATCATCAACTCGTTGTATTTTTTTAGACATATTATTGGGCAATTAGACCTAATATATTTTACCATCTTTAGTAATCTATCTCAAATTTCAAAATTAT